GTCGACGCGGGCCCAAATTGTGTCTCGGCACTGGAAGTTGGGCGTGAGCAAGACCAGGGGAAGTCGTGCTTTCCAGCTTGACGAAGGAGGAGCACGCGGATGAGTTCATCAGCTACGATAGGGGCCATCCCCAGTATACTCCCCTCTTAGTATGACAGGTTTAATCTCAAATCAGACACCTTGCGTGGGACACGAACTTCACCCTACGATCAACGCTCTCTAATCGCCGCGTCCGCGTGCCAATCGAGTCACGCCGTATCACAACAGAGCCAGGGCTGCGGGTCCGGCGGGGCCACCATCACGTTCGCACAAGGTGTCACGGAGCGAAACAAGACGGGGCAAAGCGTACAGGGTAACAGCCACATGCGTGTATTCATACAGATATGTCCAGAACGGGTTTTGTACCATTAAAATCCCATTTCCCTGTTGACGGGGACCAGCGTCGCTCTATCGCAGACCTGGGCTTTGTCTCGGGTGGCCATCTCATCTCATGTCGTCTCATCGCATGACTGCAGCGCGCGCCGCCTCACTGGCCCGGCGCTCAATGCATCGGCAGAATCTCACCGAAAATGTGAAAAAAAAAAGTGTTGCAGGGAGCGAAGGACTGGATAGCAGGTTTCCCTCGGCTTTTTGGAAGGAAGAAAAAGCGACAGTCTTGAAAATGACCTTGTTTCTTTACGAAGAAGATCAGAAGACTGCAAGCTACGCGACCCCGATTTAAAGGAAGGCGGCAGCAACGGCGGCTGCGAGCACGGCACCACCGACGCGGACGTTGGCAGCGGCAGCCGTGGGCACGGGCTCGAGACCCTCGGTGGCAGAGGGGATGGGGCGCGTGACGGTGCCAATGGACGTGGGAGGGGGAGCGGGCACGGGAATGGGCTCCGACTCGACAGGGGGCTCCTCGACCGGAGCACTGGGAACGGGAGGCTCCTCGTAGCCGGGCTGCGTCTCGACAGGGGGCTCCTCAACGGGGGGCTCAGGCTCGTGGACCGGCTGCGTCTCGACGGGAGGCTCGGGCGCCGGGACGGGGTATGTCTCGACGGGAGGCTCAGGCTCGTGAACAGGCTGGGTCTCGACGGGGGGCTCGGGCGTGGGGACGGGGTGCGTCTCGACAGGGGGCTCAGGGTACGGCTGCTCAGGCTCCTCGGGCTTCTCGGGCGTGGGCTCGGGAGCGACGGGCACCGGGCAGATGGTGGTGGTCTGGGGGATGGTGACGGTGGTGTACTGGGTCTTGCCGCCGCCGCCGTAGCAGTCCTTGTCACCACAGTCGATGACGGTCGAGATGTGGGTTGCAGTGATGGTGCTGGTAGTCCACTTGTAGTCGTCCTCGTGGTGGTCCTTGCCGGGGTGGACCCAGTGCCAGTCATCATCGTCCTTCTTGTCGCAGTCGTCGATGACGACGTCGTGGTGAGGAGGGTGGTAGATGGGGAGGTAGCCATCCGGGGGAGCGTAGCCGGGGCCAACCTCCTTGCCGCCGTCATCCTTGGGGCCCTTGATGCCGTCAGGGAACTTCCACTCTCCGTGCCAGGTAGCCTGAGCGGTGGCGGCGAGGCCGGCGGCAGCGATAGTGGGAGGAGAAACGCATCTTGATGTGTGTGTTTTGTGTTTTGGCGTTTGGTGGGTTTGGTGGTATTAGTGAGAGGTTAGGATGAGGTTGTATTATATGTCCAACGAGTGACAACAAGAGCCGAATGATTTGGTATCAAAAGACACTTGAAAGAGAGGAGAGAAGGGAAAAGAATACCTGGAGAAACGGGTGGAAGTGGCCCTTTTTTCAG